AGGTTCCTGGGCTCAAGATAAAGCAACTGGTCACGTCTCGAGTCAGGGAAAAAATTTCTTTCAGAACTTTGGAGTTTTCCTGCAAGAAAAATACAGCTGGCTGTCTCCCCTCCATATTAGGAACCAAAAGTAAATTAGCAAGGACACCCACAGCAGCCTTATATTTCCACAGCTCTATAATACACTGCATCTAACATGCCTTAACCTTCCCAGTGGCATGAAAAGCCCAGCCAGGTGACAGACTTTGTTCAAGGACACATCAAAAATGCACAAGGATGGAAGAACTGAAAGAAACAGAAAGCAAACAAATGTATGTGGATTTGAAGAGAACTTCAGTTAACATTAAGCAGACTGGAGTTCATGAAGGAGTCAAGGGTGAATATTCTTACTAAAACTTCCCTGAGATCTAGCATGACTCAAGGTGGTTGGAAAGGTCACTAAGCATCTCACCCAGATGACAGTGCTTCAAGAATCACAACCGAAACTTTCCACTAAGTGTCACAAGAAAACGGGATATTCTGATCTTTATTCTGTTATTTCAGTATTTTTGCTGAGATGAAACAAATATAGTGCAACAGCTATTACTATGATGACATGTAAAGATAGCATAATAAAAAACTCTTACTAAACATATTCCCCAAAATACATCAGCGTCTATAAATTCCATTTAGAATGGTTATACAGCATGGCAGAGTTATTTATGAGCCATGCCTTTGGGAGAAAATAACATAAAACTGCTATTTTGGGAGGGGGGAAAAAAAAAGATGACTACTGTTACAGACAGCTGGGAGGTACGTAGACTGTCAAATATTATGGGTTGGATCTTGAGCAGATAGAAATGGGCAGTGCTGCAAAGAAATAAATGGTGTAATCATTTTTTTTTTTTTACTTTTGGGTCTCATTCCACATTCCTTCTGGTAAAAAGAAGCAGTAGATTAATATCTCAATGGAGTCAAAAGTACTGTGAGATAAGAATCAGCCTCTATACATCGCTCAGCTCTATCACACAACATTAAACTTCCCTCACAGCCACGTATTAGTGTTTCACGTTTATATTTAATCAAAGGCTTCCTAAAGCTATCAGATATGTCCATTCTGGTTTGCATCCTTGCCTGCACTGCAGTCCCCTTTCATCCTGCCGAGGGACAATACTCTTCTAACTTCACAACAACAATTTGATGCATCTCAAAAGGTAATGAACAACGAATGATGCAGCTAATAAATAACGGCAGTGAAAGCAGTTCAGGGAGGAAGAGTGAAGCCACATGAATCTCAGCAATTGCACTCTCCTGATGTAAAGAAAATCCCTATAAACTTTTACGCAAAGATGCCACCTCTGACTGCCCTCAGGCACTGGGAAATAAACTGAGGGAATAGCACTGTACATTTAGTCTGCTTTTAGCTCCTAGAATTGGCTTTTGCTGCTACCAAGGCAGGATGCTGGTAGACCAGCTCTCACGTTAAAGTACTTAGGCTCTGTCCCGGCAGGACTATTTCCTGTATAATCTGCTGTGTGGATTTGTACCAATATCATTAAGTTACATTACTAAAAGCTATGGCATGACAGAGCAGCATAACTGACCCAGTTCCCTCATTGACCAGGTGCTCCACAGTAATCCTGGTGCCTCTAGCAACGGTCTGCTCTGACCTTGCTCTTCAGCTCCTGAGTAGGAGATTACCTAGGATGAGAGGCCCAACCTGAGCCTCAGGTGAGCTATGGGCTGACAGCCCAAGGAGGCCACGTCATCCAGACATGACATAATAATCACAATTCATCCATCCATGGGAAAATGCCGAGAGAAAGAAAAACTAAATTAACACACCTGAGCTGAGGGGAAGGGAAGAAAAAAATTTTAAATATCAAGCAAGAAAAGAGTAAAACTGTACCCTAGTCTACCTCCTGATTAAACAACCTCTTTTCAAGGGAATCAAGACCTATACCATCACTTCACAGTGAGGCTAATTTCTGTTAAATCAGGGTGGACACGCATCCTGCCAGAGCATGCAGGGACCTCCATGTCTCCTGGGGGACAGGAGATGGAGATGCTGGAAAAAGTGAGTTCCTCATTTACCAGAAGCAGTATCTCTTTCCAAGTGGCACACAAACAGACCCATGGAGTCCTATAGGCCTGACTGATATCTGCACTGGGCAGAAGATCTCCTTGCACAGGGACAGTGAGTTCCACTAGCTGGAGGGATGCTCTTTTTATTACATCTTTTATTTCTCAGATGCTGTTTTTGATGAACTACAAAGCTCCTCCTTTATGGGGAGCTGTTGGACTTATGGCATCAATTATTCAAAGTCTGGGACTAGGGCAAACCTCTCCAGTGATCAGGAAAAGTTAGGGTCATAATAGCCTCTGTTTCCTTTTATTCTTCAAGGTTAACAAAAACTTCCTCCTACCCTCCTCAGCCAACAACAAAGCCCAGTAAGCCTGGTAATGCTCTGACAACAACTGGCTTTGAAATGGCACCTTCCTGGATGGTCACCAAGCAAAACATCAGAGAAAGTGTAGTGGAGGTCCCAGGTATCTCAGTGGACTCACTCCACGCTGGTTTTAAGCAAAGCCTTACATGAACTTTGTAAATAGGTTCTGCATGGCATTTCTGTGATAGAAAAGGGAGGTGAGTAAGCCAGGTCCATTTTGAGGAACAAGAAGCCATTCACTTCCCTACCAGACCTGTGGTAGCACTGTGGTTAGTGCTGGCTGCCACGCTTTGTGCCAGGCCATCAAAGTATGTTACCAGCACCGCTGGGCACAGAAGATACTGCCCTATCACATCTCATAACCTGGGAAATCCCCGAGTTTCCCAGGGATGTTTTTGGGATGCTAGAGCACTAAAAGTTCAATCTTTCCTCTCTCAAGACATGAATAACGGACACTTAGTGTGCTTAACTGTGCTTTGCCTGCGATGTTCTATGATAGAAGGCATCCAGAAATTCACTCCATATACTGACTGATCTCTTTTTGTTGACCAAAAGGCAATTCTATCTTTCTCTTCCATGTACAGGTATAATAAGCCACACAGAAAACAACAGTGCCTACATGATACCTGATTGTGCTTACCATGGTGATCAAAAATCCAATCCTCAGGTTTTTCACATTCTGCATATTCTCAGTCTGTTTTTGCATGAGCGAAATGACTACATTATAGCTTTTTGGGTCATAATCTGGCACTTTGAAAAAATACTGAGGGTTCCTTGAAACTGCATCTGCTGAGAAAGTGTTAATAGATTAATAGTAGTCACACAGATGTCCTAGTGGCAGCCTATTGCATCAGATATTGGTTATATGGACCCAGAGGAATAGGTAGTTACTGCTCCAAGATCCTTTCAATACCACAAAGGACTGTAGTCTCTATATTACCAGCAGAACTTGAGGCATCTGGAGTTAAACTAATTGCGTATTAATCATTCTAGAAATCTCTGGCAAAGTCATAAAAGTCATGCAGATTTCTCAACCCCCCCTTACATCTGCTTCACCTGCATGGCACACTTTTCCAGAGGCAGGAAAGCAGTGATTCTTAATCAGCTGCCTGATCCAGTGGCTGAGCTGAAAACAACTGCTGCCTGCATAAAAGAAAAAGACAAAATGGTCCAAAACTATCCTCCCCTTTCCTCCCGTTACTGTTTGTGATGGACAAACATTGAGCACCAGAGGGAAGAGGCTTCTTCTTGGTTAACAGGAAGCAGCCCTAATGAAAAAGCAGTAAAATGCCCAAACTGGGGAAAAAGAACTGAGGTTCAAACTAGTCTAGACATTAAGCCATGTAGCTGTGTTAGATAGCCTTGAAAGCCACAGTTTACCCTGACTATACTTGAACGGGAACTTTACTAGAAGGCTGGTGGAAAACACAGCTCCAAGGAAAAATGGCTCTGCTCACATGTCTTCGGTTCAGTCCCTGCACATGCTCGCTCAGTTCCAGTGCCTGTGGTGTGCAGCAGCCCAGGCACTGCTTTGTTGTCACCCCTTGACACACAGGCAATTCAGGTTATGAAGAGGAGGCTGAAACCTGTAAGCTGGAACCTGTTTACTGCTCCATCAGGGATCAACATTACAGAAAAAAAGAGAAGCTTCTTCACTGACCACATGCTACCAGCTTTGATTAAAACCACAGAGCCCAAATAGTGATGCAGTTGAAAAAAAAAAGTAAGATAAAATAAAAAATTGTTTTAAAAATGTTACTAGTAATTGGAGCTTGGACTGCGAGAAGAGTCATTGCACAGGCAATGTCTTATATGTTCAAAGGCCTTTCTACCTTTGAAAGTAGAGCATTGTAGCACAATTCTTTAATTTCATATTCATTTAATTTCAGAGTATTTTTCACTCTGTAAAATCAGCTACATATATGCCCGACCAGATTTTCTGGTGAGGTCCCCTGCAACACCTCCTGCAACTGGCTAGAAGAAAACAGACAAGCATATTTTGATTTAAAGAGTTCAGGATTTCTAAATCACAAGTCTCCTGTTTTAACTCAGCAGCCATTGCTGCTGCTTTGTTTCTGCCTCTTTAGCTGATAGGTGCTGTAATGGGAAAGGGCAATCTATATTTCTGCAGTTTGGTGCTTAAGAGTGAGCATTTCACTATAAGCCCCAATCAAGAGGAGGAGAGGACTGGGTGGCTGCAGCAAGCGCTCATTACCTGAAGAATAGTTTTTCCTGCCTGTGGCAAGGACTGGACTCCACAGGTTGTTGTACCTGTCCAGAGACCACGTTGTGCAATGCTGATCTCCAAAGTCCAGAAACGTTGGAGTGCTGTTACATACGTACAGCCAGGAAAACTGCTCCTTGAAGTTTTCACAGGACATCCTGCAGAGAAGGCAAAAAGTCTCACCTTTCATTTTGAGGCACCGGTCAGGTACTCATGTTCACCCACCATGTCTTTAAAAGGGGATTACAGAAAGCACAGCAGGCTGCAGCTGAGCTGGTGGCACCTTGCAGAAGAGGTCAGCTCATGGTACTTTTTTGCTGCCCTAAGTGCACCTAAAGCCCCAGGGAAATTACAGGGCACGTTCGGTGGTACTTAAGTGGAGCCCTGCTACCTTCAACACATCTCTGTCACTGCACCTTGCTTTGTCTGTCCCTCTGCAGTGTCCTGCCCTGCACTTGTGCTTTGCTGAAGCCTGCAGTGTCTATCTCAGAGCAGCCTGATGTTTCTCTGCTTTCCTCAGAGCCTCATAGGGCAAGTGCACACTTTCTGAATAATAGTAGCTTTTCTAAAGGATGGCTAAACTGGATTTAAGAATAATCAGAGGCAATGAAAAACACAGACACCTGCACAGCAGTTAAATGCATAAGCTCTATGAGCTGTTCCCTTCAAGAACCAGGTAGTCCAAGGTTCAAGATAGGTGCTTTACAGGGAAGGGCAGTAGGACAAAATTACTAGGTCTTAGCTGGATTTTCACTTTGCGTTCTTTTCATCAGTTTGTTACCTAATCTTGGCCAGCTCCATTTCTCCAGGTCTTGCTTCCTCTGAAACTATGGGGCCAGGACAACCTCCAATTGGTTGTTTGCACACAACTAACACTGGGTGCCTTGAGCCATCACTAAGAGCAGAGAATTGCCTAAATTACTCTTTTTTGCATGATGGACACAAACGTAAAATGTGGCAGACAGAAGGATCAAGAGGAAAATACCAGAATTCTCCATCATCCTTATTTCTGAGGAATTTTTCTCTGTATTCAGGCTCAACATGGTCCCACTGAGGAGAGCTGCAAACAAAAACAAATCAACAAGCAGGCATGAGGCACAATTTTCCATCTCTCTGGCCAGCCCATTCCTCTAAACAGCCCATCAAGTCATGAGGGATCAGCAGCGATGAGCAAACTGCATGTTGGGAACAGGACTGTATTTGATACTTTCATAGCCAAGGCTAGCAAACAGAGCTCTGTGCCTTTGTTGTGCCTCTCTGAAGTTCCCACCCTGGGATGGGGAACGCTTCCTCAGCCCTCCAAGCCCTCATCACCTGTCCACATGCTGGAGAGGTTAGCGAGGTATCCAGACATAGCACTCTGAAGTGCTGATATTACATTGACATGTAGAGGGCACATTAGTCAGTCAAATGTATCATTTCCAAGCAGCATGTTTATAATTAAGTGATAATTGTACTTTCTGCAGAGTTTAAGATAAATAAACAGAGCACAAATCAATAGTTTATTGATTTATGCAGCTTACCTGTGAATGTGCTCTGCTGACATTTCAATTATAGTTAGGATTATAGTTCACCCTTCCAAAAAAAAAATAAAAAATGGGAGGATGCTGTCTGAGTAGATAGCTGTTATCCCAGCTTTAAACATGCCTGCACCGCCTTCCAGCTCATGCAGATGCAACACGCTAGCTTGACTTTTCTCAGGAGGGAAGTTGTGAGTGTTCTTAGCAACAGGGAGAGGTGGGATGCTATTAAATCATGTAAGAGTGACACACGAACATCTCTCAAGTCAGAAAAACACTGATGCAATTCCACCAGGAAAACTAACATCTATCTATCTACGAAACACTTGCAGTCTTCCTCTGTATCACTTCTTTCCTCAGGAAAGAGAAGCTAGCTTATACACACAGCAGCAAAGTGCTCCTTGCATCTCCAAAGCTTTACACAGGGTGCAAAAGACCAGTTCAAGCCACCCAGCAGTACTTTGCCTTTGCAATAACCAAGAATCCTTTTTGTCTGAGTTCAATACTACGTAAAAATACTGCCCTACTCTCATGGATTCTGCTAACCATTCTCTTCCCAGATTCAGACTCATGGGAAGAGAAGAAGGAGCAGGAAGGTAGATGCACAATTGTTGCAGGAGAATTCAATAGAAGCAGTCAGTCAGTGCCTAGGGGTATGGCCAGAGATTACTCCAGGTAATAAAAACTCTCTCATCCATGACTTGTGTGGAATTACCCACTGGGAAAAATGTACACATAGACAAAAAGGGATAGCTGAGCTAGGCCTAGTGAGGACCACATATAAAATCAATGCTGCATTAGTTTTCTGTGGATTGGATTTCTGTGGGCAGCTGCTTTGCAGATGGAAATAATGCTTATAATGAATGGATTTAGAAATGTCTTCTTCATTATAATGGGTACAAGGCAGAGGCCTTTTACATTAAGCCTATAAAAGACTGATTCTCCTTATGAGATTAAAGCTTTAAGATCATACGTATCACTCCAGGGCCCCTTCCACTCCCCATGGCCCCACGGATTCCAGATCCTGATGATATGTTTCCAGCCATTCTTGTAGCGTATCTGTAAAGAGGAAAGAAAAATAAACTCAGTCACAGCTTTTTACAATTGCGATATTCAGTGAAGAGATGGGTAACAAAATAGATCTTCTTCTATACCTCGGAGACCTGGTTTAACTTCTGGTCTCATTGGACTGCAGCTAAAAATTACTGCCTTTTGCTACACTGTAAAGGAGTGACGTCTGAGAGAAAACTGCACACATTTTGCTTTCCCGAGGACAGTTAGCAGCTGACCAAGAGGGGAGCTGCGGCATTGACTTCAACAGCCTTGGGAAAGTCCAGTGCTTAATTCTGTACATCTGATGCTGTGAGTCAGCAGAGACTTTGAGGAACGAGGTCACCAGACTGCCTGGAGTGAATGTTGACAGCCAGCAATGATGATGATAAACAGATTCTGTGGTTCTGTATCTACAGTACTGTGGTTTCTGATAGCTGGAGTTTCTGGTGCTTTTTTCTCTTGCTGTCACTGTTTCAAGCCAAAAGCAACTCACTTTCATCAGTGAAGCCAAAATGGTGGAATTAGAAAGAAGCAGCAAACCTTTTGTTTCTGGCTCTCCTTACGCACACAGGCAGTGTTGGAAACAAATACCACAACAGTCTCTTCCGAGGAGAACACTCAGCCTCTGGCTGGCCTCAGGTCATTTCCCTAGAGGACAGCCTCTGATGCCTTGGGACTCCCATAAGGTGAGACAAAGACTGTTTCTCCTCTCTGCACACATCACCAGCAGCTGGAAGATGAAACAGTCTGCTGCCTTTCCAACAGGATTCTGGATCCTACCATCTCTGTCTTGGACAGAGCCATTTGGGGCCTTCTCTAGAGCCTGGTGACCCTCACCCTTCCAGTTTGGATCCTCTTGGCTTGGAGAAAGCGTCCTCTGAGAAGCAGCACACTGACTATGATGACAGCCCCAAGTATGCCACGGCATGAGGGGCTATGAGCCAAAGCCAAGCTACTAGAGGAAGCCATTAAAGAGAGGGGCAGAGGGGAAAAAAACAGCTTAGGGAAAATGCCATCCCCTTTCCAAAGTTCTTTAGGTTCTGAGATTAAAACATACTGTAGCTATCTTGATAGCATACCCATTGTTTGGCCTCTTTCTTGGCCTTGCTCACTGTTAACTCTCCATGTGTGCATTACAGCTTACTGGGGTAAGCCATGTTCTGACTTCTAGTTAAAAAAAAAAATAAAATCCTTCCTTTCATTTGATCTGTGTGATAAATTGGTCCTGTTTTCAGATCAGCAATATTAATAACTAGCCAGGAGAAGTTCTGCATGAGTAGAACAGCTTTAAAAGACGGAGAAATGCTGTTCCTGAGCAGTGAGTTATTTATTTTTCAGACTGATTTTTGGCAGCTTGTGATTGAGCTGAGCAAATGTAGATTTGCATTATATGACAAATCCCACAATTTCAGCCAGTGCTTCTATTCCCATCTGAAACAGAAAAGTGACTTTTTTAAGGATCAGCGTGGAAAGAAAATCTGCATAAATGCTGTATTTGCTGTTGAAAGGTCTCAAAACAAAAGTGAATGCAGGTTGCATTTTTCCATTAGAAAAAAATTACAGGATTCAGATATCCTCTCTCTTCCCATTGTGTCAGAATCCTTCCATCTCCCGGACCTTCAACTATGTGCTTTCAACAGTTCCTTCTAAGTATTAAGCTAATTAAAATTACACTGAATAGAACAGTAGTGTGACTGCTACCAGGCAAGAACAAGTCCTCGATCTTACCTTAACAGCTCCTGTAACAGTGTAGGCATGACCTTGTACAATTCCATTCCTCATCTCTATGTTCCTCAGCTGCAGAAGGGAGAAGGCACAGCTTTTAGCTCTCTGCCATACTGCAAAAGCATAGCCAACAGTTTCTAGAACTGTCTTTTGGCATGGCAGAAAAAGACATTTGGTTTTGAGTACAGCAGTATTTCAGATACACCAGCTCCAGAGGAATGTGACTTGTTCTTACTGCAGCCAGAAGCAGGCCATCAAATTTAACAAAACTACAGGTCTTCATAGAGTTGCAAGATCTGCAATGATCCAGAGCTGCTGTAACTGCAGAATGACCTTAGGTGTGGATCACTGGCAGAATTTCCCTGCCACCCCACAGCTCAGTATCAGCTACCTGGCTGAGGGGTTAGTCATAGAATCATTAAGGTTGGAAAAGACCTCTAAGATCATCAAGTCCAACCATCAACCCAATGCTACCATGACTACTAAACCATGTTCTGAAGTGCCAGGTCTACACACTTTCTGAACACCTCCAGGGATGGTGACTCCACCACCTCCTTGGGCAGCCTGTTCCAATGCCTCAACACTCTTGCAGTAAAGAAATTTTTCCTAACAGACAATCGAAACCTCCCCTGGTGAAACTTGAACCCATTTCCTCTCATTCAATCACTAGTAACTTGGGATAAGAGACCAACACTCACCTCTCCACAATCTCCTCTTAGGTAGTCGAAGAAAGCAATGAGGTCTCCCCTCAAACTCCTCTTCTCCAGACTAAACAATCCCAGTTCCCTCAGCTACTCCTTATAAGACGTGTTCTCTAGACCCCTCATCAGCTTCGCTGCCCTTCTCTGGACACACTCCAGCACCTTCCTGTCTTTCTTATGCTGAGACATCCAAAACCGAACACAGTACTCAAGCTGAGGCCTCACTAGTACTGAGTACAGGGGCATGATCACTTCCCTACTCCTGCTAGACACACTTTTCCTGATACAGGCCGGGATGTTGTTGGCCTTCTTGGCTTGTTTACAACAGCTGAGCTTTGTTTCCTGATGAACCAGGCACTACTGGTCCAATGTCACACAGCTTGCAGTCTTCCCTTACATAGTAAGGGAAGCCCTGGCAACCTTTTAACAAGATACTTGCTGAGCATCATAAAGCCTTTTGCAACTTCCCAGCGTTAATACCAGTAGCCTGCAAACCACAATGCAACAATAATGTCCTCTCGCAAAGAGAGGTGCATTTTGGCCTTGCTAGTATCGATTGCAAAGCTATGAGGCCAAAATCAGCCCTGCTGCAAGAAGACACCGCTCTATTACAGTGGAATGAGCCAGGAGAGAAGCCACAGACCCCTCTCTGACAGACCAATCCATCAACATCTATCCAAAAAGGCTTTACATCCCTGTTCTGGTTTTGGCTAAGACAGAGCTAATTTTTCTTCTTAGTTGCTGGAATAGTGCTGTGTTTTGAATTCAGTGTGGGAATTGGTATGAGCAAGCGGCTGCGTGGTGTTTGGCTCCCTGCTGGGTTCAAACCATGGCAATTCCTTACTGCATAACCTTATCTACTTTCTGCTGCCAAGATCGCTTCAGGCATCCATAAACTGTAAGTATTGCACAGAGTGATTATGGACTTGCTTTTACACTCAAAAGAGCAACCTTTATGCAGACATGCTAAACCAAGCAAGGCAGGCTACTGGCCCCATGACTCACCTGGCCTGAGGTACTACACCCCATCAGACATCGAGACTTGTCAGCTGCTTTCAGTATCTCCTCCAGATCAGGAGGTGGATCCTTCAATGAAAACTGCATTTGGACTCCACCTGTGAGGTCTACTAAGGCATCAGAAAGGTACCCTCCATGTAAGTGCTGGTAGGAGCCCCGTAACCTGGAAATAAATAAATAAATAAATAAATAGTCTTTACACTGTGTTTTGATAAACAACATACAATGATGGCTTTCAAAATGGACATGCGCATTGAGGTGGTGAGCATGGGAGGAGCCTGGGGTGTGTGGACAACGGGGACAGCTAATGAAAGATAATGTGATCAAAAATACATGGCGAGACACAATGTATGCTCTGTGGAATGAATGAGGGAAAAACAGGATTTTTTCCTATGTATTCACCCACTTATGAGGCAGATGTCTAGAGCCATTTACAAGCAGTGGAAAATAATAAGGTGTGTCTCATGCCAACGTAGACATTTTGCATCTCATCTTGAAGTATCCAGTTTCCTTCTGAACAGGAAAGGAGCCAAACCGAGGAGGACTTGTTCAAATGGATGTTACAGATCAGATGGAGCTAAACTGTTAGCTTCTACGTTGTATTTTGTCACGACTCTTCACAAAAACGGCCAGGATCCCTTTTTCAAAGGAGAAACAGGAAGAAGAAAGAGGTGAAAGTATTCACCTCTGTTCCCAATGCAAGACAGAAACAAGTTTTCAGCCCTGTTACCAATTCACTCTGCTAGAGTACAATAATAGGATAACAATTTAATATTGCCAACACAGTCCTTGTTTTTATCGTGTGCTTTTTATTGAGACAGCAAATAAGCTGGAACATGCTGTACTTAGAGCAGGTAGAGCAGGCTGTTAAACCCCACCATACCCACTGTATTTAATGAATGTAATCAAATGAAGTCTGCAGCTAATTGTATTTTGAAGGGTTGTCCTTGTCCTACACTGATGAAAAGAATTTGTCATGGGCACTGGGGAAAAACTTTTCAAATGGGAATCTCATAAACAGCATAGCTTGCAACTTTAATTTAATAGAGGTTTGGTTTGCTTTGTAATTAAAATCTTATGCAGCAAATTGATACTGAATCCTGAGTCAACTTTTCTGAGCTATCTCAGGACAAAATGCATCCTACTCCCGAGTTGCTCAGATGCTGCTTTAACATTTGCTTATTCCTGACCAAATCTGCCAAAATAATTAGCTCTCTTCTTCAGCTCCTCTGTATTGCATTGTAAACGTTACACCAGCTTGATGTAGGGCATGTGTACCAAGCTCCAGCCCTTCACACTCCTCCCGGCAGAGGAATTTCTCCTCAGCATAATGATGGGCAATGCTACAGATGCTAAGGGACCACAGTCTCATCCCTTCACTCCTCAGACAATTTTTTAAATATCTCTTTATTAACCATTATTAAACCTGCAGTACTCTGTGTGGACCTCAGCCAAGAGTCAGAACTCTCTGTGTGAAGCAAGAGCTGACCAGAGACTCACAGGACTGCATGTGTTGTGCCTGGGTATGTTCTTAAGTCACGCTTCCTTCTCATTGCCTGCTCCAAATATCTGCACGACCTCTAATCAGTGACTGTAAACAGAGGTAATCCCTGCTTAAAAAGTCTGCAGTTTTAAACAGAGGAAAACAAGGAAAGGAAAACAAAGTAGTTTGCTTAAAGAAGGAGATGCCCAGCCATTTCTGTGTCACATCCAATGCCCTGTTCATTTTACTTCTCAGGCATTAACATCCCAGAGTTGGACCAGGTACATTTAGGTCTTCAACCTGAGACCAGCATCTCCACGTCATGTTGGCCCCATGTTTACATGAAGCCACAGTCCCTTCCATAAGCACAGCACAACATACACAGCTGTTAGCCTGAGCTCCTGCTCCCTGGGTGTTTGGCATGAAGCAGAGGGTCAAACCACCCATGAAAGGAATTCAACACTGGGTGGAAGAATAGGTCAGGTATATTTACTTGGCATATGCTTTTTCCAGCAAGGATGGCCAGAATTCATTTGATGTTCGAGGGTGTACAGACAGGTATCTTCCATTTAGAAATGGCAGCCGGTCATCTATCACTACATCCACCCAGTCTCCACATTGCCAGAACTGGAAATAGAAAAAAATAAATTAAAATTAAAAACAAAAACCCAAACCAAACCAACAAACAAAAACAGAGAGAGAAAAGAATGAGACTTTTAAGAGCTAATATTTATGCCAAGCAACAGCTTCCTGAAATAGCACAAGAATTATTCCAAAGCACAGATACGTGCAAGTTCTCTTCTGAACTGCTTCAGGCTAATGGTCCACATTGTTAAACAAGTTACTAAGTGGCTGGATTTCCCAGTGGGAGAGGAAGTCATTTGGGAATATAAATAGTCCTGCAATCAGTGGGAGGAAAGATTCAACATGGGAAATATGCTAATATTCCTGGGCAATAGCAAGCATTCAAGACGATGAAGAACAATCATGCAGATGGCTCAGTAAGCCTCACTCCTCAGCTACACTCAGATGTTTCCCTGCAGCACAGCTCTTGGCCAGAGAGCCTCTGAAAAGATCCAGTCCCTAGATTGTCTTTCTTCTGTATTTCAATTCAGATTCTGACATGCTGTCATGGACAGGGACAGGGTAGTGATTGAAGACTGTTTTGAGGTGCTATCCATCTCCTTGATAGATGAGAAGGATGCAGGTTGTTTCTCCAGCATGTGGACAGAGCAGGTGTTTCTCCAGCTGATGAAACCTTTCAAAGGAGAAGACAGGGAAAGAGATCTGTGGGGATGAACTAAGGGAGCCGTTCCCAGAGTCATTAGCAGATTAATGTAGCTTAGCATTATTTGCAGTCATAAGAGGTCAAGCTCTTATTTGCAGCACTACTAAGGACTTCAGTGGAAGTATGCCAGCAATAGATTTAGTCTAGGCATGATTATATTCCAACAGCTTTGGTCAATGAAAAACTGCAAAATGAGCTGTTCTGTTAGAAAAGCAGAAGACCAGATCTGGCCAGCAGCAGCACAGCAGCTTACAGTCTGCTAAGTAGAAAGCAGGTTTGATTCTACCTGTGTCCAGCCTCTCACTTCCTACATTCATGGTGGCAGGAGGTGGCAAGTTCAGACTCCCCAAACACGAGCTCCAGGAGTGTTTTGAGGCTTCTGCTTGATTTTGGCAGGATGGGGTTTGAGAAAAAGTCTGCCATCGGCTGTCCTCTGCCCAGAAGAGAGACAGGCAAAACGACAGTCCAAAAGGAGCTATTTTCTCAGTCACCTAAAGTGCCTTTCTGTCACCAGTCAACACCTGGCAGCATATCTATATGAAGAAAAGGTGTGACATCCAACCACACCTCCCCATGGTGCTTCATGTGCAAACACAACAGGTAAGCAAGGAGAACAAGATGGAACCGGCTGTGGGGATTAACGTGGCCTAAACCCCCTGAGTGACATTTTTTTCCAAAAGCCAAGTTACTTGGCCATCTTTGGTAGAGAGCTCAAGCTTGGAGACCTTCTGAATGCAGCACTGTGCTTTTCTTCAGCTGGATACAGAGAGCTGCTTTGTCCTGACTGCCACAGACTTTTAGATTTTAGTCTCATCTGAGTTCACAAGAACAGAAAAAGTCACAATGGAAACGAGAAACCTCATAGAAAGTCCTAGATAAAAAAAGTCACCCATCTTAACTACATCTGATGAAGTGATTAATACCCTAAACTCTTGCAGCTGATCAGCCAGTGTCATGCAAGAAAATTGAAGCAGCTCTTTGTATTCCTGAGAGGCTACGTGCTCCAGATCCAAAGAGGCGAAAAAAAAGTTATAAGCTAACATTTTTATATTAGCATATGGTATGCCTTGTTTGCCATTCTTCACTGAACTGAGGACTGGCGGCTTAGCCTGTGGATGGCAGTAAAATATCTTTGATGGAATAATTGAAAAGCATTGCCAAGAAGCATTTCCATTCAGAGTAGCTTTCTCGGGGGTTTATTGCTCAAGGAAAGCCAGAAACAGTTGCATTGATTTGCAGATGAGATGTCAGAGAAAACATTTTCAAATACTGTAAGGTATTTATACTGCTTAAGATTTAAGGATTGCTCCTAACTAATCTTTTCAAATCTCTCATGAAAGATAATCTAGCTTGCATCTTTTTAATGTGTTTTAAGCAGACTGATGTCCCTTCAGCTGGTTTATCTCATACAGTGCACCTCTGCATGCTGGAAAAGGGCCAAGACACAAACATCTGGTATTCTGAGGAGCAAAGGAACAGAGCAAAATTTAGACTGTCCACAAGATAATCCTCCTGGTGCTGCTCCATGAGAGCTCCAGGGGGTCAAAGTCATCTCACTGCCAGAGCACTTTGCTTAGTACTGAACTGCATATAACCAAATGGTGAAAGAAAAGGGAAAAAAAAAAAAAAAGGATGATGATGTATGGCCAAGTATAAACTGATTCTCTCTACATCCAGTTTAACTTTGCATCTTAATGGTAATATAAATGCTTCTAATTCCACAACATACTTCGTCAATTCAGATACAAGCACACTGGGCCTATCAGTTACTATCCTAGTCACCCTCCTGAGATGTTCAGAGAATTTCAGGAGTTGGTAGTAAGTGAGGCGTATTAAAAAGCCTTGCTCCTCTCTCTGAAACAAATCTCGTCAAAATATCAAAAGACTGTTTCTCTGATCTGTCTCCAAAGATTTGCAATTTCAAGCCATTTCCATTGAGCTAAAAGGGCAAGGGGAAATATATGGGAAAAAAGAAGATGAGTCCAAATAGGTAAGGAACACCAGTGAGCTGACAGCAATAACAAACTGTCCATATTAAAGCAGACACCAGAATGCTATCTAAAACATGTACATGAATCTTCCTGAACAGCTGGTATCTGTACCTCTGGGATCATAACTTTCAGAAAAAGGCTTCAGATTTCCTGACATATGACTGGACAACCTGGAACACAAGGAATCATTAGAAAATTTGAAATTTGCTGCAAAATTCTGAACTAGGAGACAGCACTGAAGAATCAAAGGATTCAAGGATGTTGAGATCTGGTACCACAGTTTGGACCCCTATATGATCCAATCAGCCAAGCCTGATCAGTACCACTAGAGCAGAGAAGACATACCCGGAAATGAAAGATCCCAGCATAATTGTCCTGGAATCCTTGGTCCTTTGGTAAAACATTTTCTAAAAAATGTTTCTGCAGTGTCAGGGAGCCCAGGGCAGCCAGCATCCAACAGTCACCTGAAGGGAGGGAAGAATCCAGTGCATTTTGTCTGTTACTCACTGTTTTGGACCATAGCTAACTCTTTAGGAGAGTGGACTTCAACTTCTAAGACACCCAAGACTCAGCTTGTTAAAACACTCTTCTAGCCTCCCTTTTCTCCCCCAGAATGCAGAACCACTATCCATTATTAACCAGTTCTTTGGGAACTCTGATGCCACCCAGCCATCCTTTTACTGCTTTCATGCTCCTTCTATCTTTTGTGGTCATGTTCATACCTGCAGTTGAGAACATCGTTTAGGAAATCTTCAACCCTCTCAGTGGGGTTGAAGACATAGTTACGGGTCATGACAGAAAGATGGAACCAATACAGGGTGCAGACCCACGTCTGGGTAAGTATTGGGAAAGAAAACACTGAGAGTCAAATGAAGATCTTAGATGAAAAATCAATCCTACACATGTTGTAGCTGTGACTACTTACCCCAGAACCGTGTTTGACCCTTGAAGCATCTGCCTGATCTCAGCTAGACCTCCCTTTCTATGCTTGTCCTTATATACATAAAGGACAGGTGCTGTGTATAAGTAACAAGGATTAAAGCTGCTGCATTGAGGAATTTTGTTAAATATCTCCTATAAATCGTACGTGAACATGTCTGAGTCTAGATGGACATTTACTAATTGTTTACTGCAGCTGCCACGGTCCGTGTCTTCCCACTGAGCATTCAGAACATAGAAATGCAACCACAGGCTATTGCTTTGCGCCAGTCTTTGCCAAAACAGCAACATGACCTTACCTATTTCTCCTTGCATGATATCAAATCTGCTGACTCCATCCACAACCAAATAAGGATTTCTCTGAAGTTCCTGGAGGAAAGAAAACGTAAAGAGCAGTGTGAGTACTCAAGAGTATGTTCCTGCCCCCTGAAGACTCTTGTTTGCCTTCCTTTTCCAACACTGAAAACTATTTCTCTTGAGTCCTGATGTTTTTCTGCCTTCCACCAACAAAACCAGAGGAGATACTCAGGCATGTCTTCTTTATTTCGCTCAGCTACTTCTAGGGGTGGAGACTTGTGGCTGAGTACTTACTGAGTTTTCATTTGGGTTTCTCTAATGCTACCAACACCTTTCAGAGAGGGCTCTGAGCCTGGCTGCACTTTCCTGGGTAACAGTAGGGCACACAGAGGTTTCCTTGGAAAGCAGAGCAGAGTCTGTACTTCAGCTCTGCACTGGGTCTGGGAAAGTTTTGCTCTCCGAGCCTTTTCTGTTTCTGTGCAGGACTAATATAGATCAGCCTGGGCTGCTTTTCATCACTGGTGAGAAAGCTATAGAAAGCGAGCTTAATCTCCGGCTGCAAAATCCTATAGGCCTGGCTGAATTATTTTTAATTCAAGGAGAATTTTACTTGCATTCCTTAAGAGTCTTGCTTGGGTAGTAAAGGGCAAAACACTTCAGATCTTGGCTTTGCACACAGAAATGTGAACAATTCTCCCACCTGCATCTGCTAGTGGTCTGGGATATCTCAGGCAGGAATGGCCTGAGTAGCCCCTGTGAGTAACCCTTGGCACACCCCAACTGGGTTAAGCTCTGTTTTGAAAGAGCAATCAGCCTTAAATAGGAAAGTCACTATGCACCTATGAAAATAAAGAGATAAAAGGGAGAAAAACCATCTCAGTAAGAAATATAATACAGTAGATATTCCTTAAGCAGGCCCTGGCATTTCTTCTCCCCAGTTGATTTGACATGCTGCACAAAAAGCAGACCAGCACACAACACGGCTCATGACTGACACGGTTGCATGAGCTCAGCATTAGCAAATGCTGTCAGTTCTCTGAAAGGCTTCGCAGCGATCAAAACCCTCTAAGAAGTTTCCCTGTCAGGAAAAGATGCAATGTAACATTGCTGCTCCAGGCCGGCAGACAGATCGTGCTTCCACAGCACGGCTGACGCCAGGAAAGGCAGCCTGGGCAGGCATCTTCCTTGACAAATGTTTTCACGTAGCCATCCACATCTATCCTGGAACTGCAGGGATTTGCAAGAAGAGATCTATCCATAGCATGGAAGCAGGACTTAGAAGCGGTGGCCACCAGCAGCAGCATGGTCATCATACAGGTAAGCAGCAGCGCTTGACCCTTCTTCGTTCCCTTCTACATCTACTCCAGCTTCATCTTCTCCCTGCCTCTATTTCCCTGTCTGTAGTTGGCTTCCCTTGCCTGGGTGAATTCAAAAGACTCCCACAGGCAGGAAAGAGTAATTTGCATGACCAGCTCTGAACTTGGCCTGTCCCTTTGCGTATGTCTGTCTTGCCAACAGTCATCCCAGAAAATCAACAGCATAAAGGAACGAGGTTTTTTGTTCCCCCATTATCTCTGCCCCAGGCAGAGCTCTGCTGGATGTGCTACAGTGCATAGCTGCCATGGAGGTAATCACCGTACAGAAACATGGGCCTGAAACTAGTGAGAAGGCAGCTGCGTCTCTTATGGGATTCCTGAGAAAAGGGCTGATGTTCTGCTCTGTGCCGGGACAATAAAATTCTCAAGTGCACTGTGGATACTGGTAACCCGTTACAGAGACAGGCTGAAAAGTCAGCCCATTAGATGTCTCCGTAGATACTCTACTGCCCACCAGGATGCTCAAATCCACAGTCAGAAGAAGGGGATCAGTTGAGTCATTAAGCAGGTTCCTTGCTGAGACAAATCAGTATTTTGTCTAAAACCAGAGAAGACATGATCTGAAGTCAGCCCCAGCCAACATGCCAAGGCACGCTGTGATTGTGCACACAGACGATTTCATGGCTATCGGAGGGAACAAAAGGAGACGTTAAACGCTCTCACTGTAATCCCCAGCCACAACACACTGAGTTCTGCTTCCAGTGGGGTGTAGTCCCCACAGACTTAGGGGGTAATAATTGGTAAGCAACATAGAATGTGTGACTAGCCATGGAAAAGGGGCTCTTCGATAGCTGTCGCTCTGCATAAACATAGCAAATACAAGGTGAATTCCCACTGAGCTGACATCAGTGCTACTGGCTGAATGACAGCAGTGCTCCTTGCACCGCGGTCAGGAATGGCGGGGCAGGTTTTAGCGAGAGGTTTGTGCTTCTGAGCACAGTGACCTCTGTGCAAGCTTGAGAAAAAGAGGCAGCATGGGCACGCTTCAAAAGGATGCGCTGCACCACAGTATGGGCTCTCTGGTGAGCGTTGGTGTGTGCCAAGGGAAGGCAGGGGACAAGCAGAAGCTGAAGCAAAGGCAGGAGCGGGCAGTGGCAGGAAATTGCAAGGCCAGGTACTCAGAAGAGCTCTGGAAGAGCGCGATCCCTGAAGTCAGAGGTGGAGTGGCTGCTCCCTTGAAGGATCATAGAATCATAGAATGTGTTGTGCTGGAGGACCTTTAAAGGTCATCTAGTCCAATCCCCCTGCAGTGAGCAGGGACATTATTTTTAACTAGATCAGATTGCTCAGAGCCCCATCAAGCCTGACCTTGAAGGATGCTGTGTGAGCCTGAACAGAAGGTTTTTGAAAGAGCTTAGAGAGGACATAATAGTAACGGGTGAAGTGCTTCAGAAATCTAGGCCTTCTCAACCAAAAGAAACGGGAGGAAAGGAAGTCTCCAATCAGCTCCCCTTCCTTCAAAGGCAAGAATACAGCAGTCATAAAAGACAAGAAACTATTGTCTATTATTGCAAAACACAGCTACACATATAGTTACTGCTACACAGAACGTGCAAGCCTCGCTATTTGCTTGTGCTCGAATTGCAGGACAAATAGAGAAATCACAGATTTAACTATAAGTCTGTCCAGAAGCAGTGCCCCATTTCACTAAGAAATTATGAGTCTTTGTGGCATTTTCCCTGAAACTGTTCAGTTTTAGCTGGAGGGGAAAAAGAAGAGGGAGCTCATAGAGGCACGTGGTCTTTCCTCAGAATATCTACGCGTCCAGCAGCGAAGGCAACCATATGGGCTCCAAGTCAAGTGCTCTGCTTGAACTCATCCCCCCAGGACAAAGCTATCATCACTTGCTTTCCCTGGCCCACTGAAGACTTCATTATGTATTCAAAATAAAAGAGAAGTTCAAGTTCAAACCAAGTTCATCCTTCAGAGAAGAAGTACTGTTTACCCAAAGAGCAAGATAGACAATTAATTTGAAAGCTGGAAGGACAGCACTCTGTATGTGTATTTGCCTCAAAATTTCTTTTTAAAATTGCTTGAAAGTTTTAAGGAAGAACAAGTCCCGAGAAGAAGATGAAGGTGAGCAGTGTAGATGTAGGCCTTTGTATGCAAACATACAAAGGATATAGTCAAATATTTTTGTGGAAAACTGAAAGCCTGAGGGGGCATTTCCTAGACATTGTAAGGCAATCTGACTGCAGGCTGCTGCCCAGTAGAGTCATCTGACCATGGCCACTTTCCCACAGATCTCTCCACTTCGCCAGCGTGACCTGAGTGCAGGCACAAGGCCACTGAGAGCTAAGAGTCAGGAGATGACGCTTTGCAGTGCTGTCTCCTGATCAGTTCACCTACAATAAAATCCCAGCCCCTTTTCTGTTCCTGCCACAGTACCACATCTTTTCCTTCAGCTGCACTTGTGTTGCTCCCCTTGCTCCAGCTTCACCTTCCTGATACATCCTGCTGTCATGAGCCCGCAGTGTTCCCTGTTCAACATACACCAACCAAGAAAAATAAAATGGCTGCTATTGATTGAAAGCAAAACTCTGTTCTCAGCTGGACAAATCTTAACTCGGCATCATTGCTGTGCCTTTAACAGTGTTGCTCTGGATTGAGAAGTAAACACCATATCGCAGTTCCCTGGACTGAGGGCACTGCCTAGCAGTGGGCTGAGGAGGGGTCAGGCAATGCCACTGTCATACATCCCATAACCACAGGAACCCTCCACAGAAGAGCTAACACAGAAAGAAGCCAGTTGGAGTAACAAGGGAGGGCAGAACAAAGGATAAGCTGCACTTGATGACATCGACGCAGACTCCAACAGCTTGGAGAGGGAGACGATAACCAAGCAAGCCAAAAGTAGTGCTCCTCCCGCATACATCCTCCCACTCTCCATCATCTAGGGGCTAAAGGACTCCCCAGGCTGGAGTCTCTATCACAGTTTTGCATTTATTAGACCTCAAGGGAATTGGGAATCTGTTTTCTTGAATCTTCATAATCTCTTTTCTTTTTTACTCTTTTTTTTTTCTTTCACATTCTCCTAGAGAGGGAAAATGAGACTAATCTCAAGGGGTTTGTCTGCAAGGCCAGAACTTAATTCCCTGCTTTACAGCAGAATAGCTCAGTTCCTAATTGTCTGTTTTCAATACAAAGAAAAACCCAAACAAACAAAACCAAACGAACCCTGCTCTGTTCCAGCTCTCTCTCTGTGGAGGAACGAGGTCTTCAGACCTCACACAGGTGGGTAGCCCACAAATGTGAAAAAAAAGTCCTGTTGAAGGATGGACCGGTGTCCAAGAACTAGCAGAAACCGAAACCAGTTCAGTTTTTACCTTGCAACACACTTGCTTTGTGTTTTGGTGCTAAAAAAACCCAAGGAGAACTGCAGACAAAGGAGATACATACAAAGGAGTGAACAAGGGAAGGAGCCCTGTCTACCTCAAGCTTTTGAGAGGCAGTTTCCTTAGAGGTCTGAAACCTACCACTTAAACCACACAATATACCTCACGTTTTCAAAGCGGCATGGCATTACCAACTATTCCGCTGTGGCCATCACAGCCGTATAATCCTGCTAGCTGACTCCCCAGCCTGAGAAATAGGGAAGAAGGTGAGTCAGCAACACCATCATAGCGGTGCTCCTTTCGCCTCTACCCAGGACATGTGCATTCACCCCCAACAAACAGCCCTTTCCAAAAGGAACAGAGCTCAGAGAAACTATACTAATAAACCCTCCTCATCTAAAGCCTGTGCAGGAAGACAGATGTAAAAATGCTGATGCGCTGCAGCTTCCTCCGCCCAAAGATACGAACCCTGAAGTCGAGGTCAGATACAATCAGCTGAGTAGGCATGGCTGAGACAACAGCAGCCTGGAAACGCTGCTCCCTTTCAGTCGCACTGATTGCACACACAGACTCAAAAATAAGGGGGAATTGATTTTGATTTTCATCAAGGAGAAATACTGAACAGGAGCCAAGGGCCTTGTGGCCTCTGGGAAATACTGAAGCTGTGAACTCTGTCATGAACAGCTGGTGAGCAGGTTGGGCTCATGCCAGAAAACAGCACCAAGGTGACAGACCTGCAGGTAGTGCAGGACATCACTACCCCTCATCACTACACATTTCCTAGAACTTGCTTTATTAAAGCAGCCAATGTGACAATCCACAATTCTTTTTCTTCTTTTTTTTTTTTTGTATTTTTTTCTTCATTTATGCCTTGTGTTATTAGAGATAAGTTTTTAGGTTAACTTCAAACTGTCATCTGATTTCTTGCCTGAACAAAATCTATCTTTTTCTCCCCTCCAGCTACAGCCTGGCCAAGGCTGATGCAGTAGGAACTCCAGCATAGTTTATCTGTCTGGAAGTATAATTTCACTATGATTTTTTAAAAGGGTCCATTTTGTTCTAGTTAGTTCCTGGGTTCAAAATTCCTAAACGTTGATGTCAATTCCTTGAAATTTCAGGGAACCAAATACAATGCAAATAAATAAACAATCACCAAAAGCAGTGCAGAATCATGATAGCCACTCTGGTGCTGAAAGGAGGTTACATTTGCTTTAGGAAAGGACAGAGAAAGGGAAGAAAAATTGTGAGCAAATCCTTTTTCAAAATTACTGGATGAAATGACAAATCACTCTTCCCAGAAAAAAAACATTGGCTCAAAGCATATAATTTTCCCCAATACTTCTTAGATGATCAACGTAGTAGTACAGTTCTCCGAGTCTCGTCTAAGAGAACAAGATACACTCCTTGCTCAAGTTCAGACTAAAGCAGCCTTTTTCAGTGGCTTCTGTCCAAGGACTTCTTTTAGACCCTACCCTTCCCTTCCTGTGACATGAGACAAATACCCGAGACGCCCACGCCCTGGTGCTACGAACAGACTGTGATGATGCAGAGGAAATCCATGCCAGCTGCTTCAGATAGTCCCGTCACTGCTGACTTGCATAACCAGCAGAGGGTAATAGTCAGAAGGCCACAGCAGACCAGGAAATTTCCTGGTAACATTTCTAACCTGGGCCCCAGGGAGGCAGCAGGCTTCCCTGTGGGATGGATCCAGTTGGCATATGGGGCTAGGCAGGGATTCACCTGCCTCTCCAAGCAGGGATCTGTTTCCATTTCCCTCCATCTCTTGGGTCTCCTCCTACTCCCTCCTGGCAAGAGGGGCGGGATCTTCTGCTCCTCCACCTGCTGCCTTTGCCTCAGGGAGTGGCTCCACCAATCTATCTCCCTCTCACTCTCCCCGATACTCCTTAACTTCTCCACTTCCCCCTTCAGCTCTGCCACCAGGCTGAGCAGATCATTCCCTTGGTCACACCACACACAAACACTGTCTCTGTCTCTGCCGGCCTCTGGGACGAGGGACAGGCTGGGACACTCCCTGCAGCCACAGACCGGCACCGCTGCGTGCTGGCAGGGGAGTGCCGGCCAGGTGCCCACATTTCTTCTGGCCGTGGTTTTCAGCCTAGTGGCAACTAGGTCCTCCAGGGAGGGCGATAACCACTAACAGAGGCACTCACAGCCAAGGCCCTCCGTGATGCCCACTCACTGCTTCCCTGCTTGGTGTGCAGCGACCAGGTCACTGTACTCTCAGGGGGTTTCATGGAGGGGTGGGTGTCACCTTGATGAGTGACCGCTGGTGCATTAAGGCCTCGTTTAGATCTGCCGCGGGTGGTGCTGGTTCTGCCCATGCCTCAGGAGCAGCCTGCCCACTTCACCTAGGCCCACACTACCTCACAAGCTGCCAGTCCCCAGTGCAGGCAAATCACATTTCCTGGTTTCAAAAAGCCCCCCAAAGAGCTTTTTATTGGCCCTTTTCACTTCAGATCGCTTCCCCAGTGCAGTCTTTTAACATGTCTCTCTGTCTGCTGGCTTCTTCTCTTCTGTTGCCAGCTCTAAGACAGGTAACACTTCAGAGAATTGTGGCGGTACGTAGGCCACGGCGGGAGTATTAGCGAACACACTAAAGCAAATACAGCTCAGCAATGTATCCATAGGTGAAACCAATTATTACAGAGACAAGAATGACTCCTTGAATGATCTGTCCAGCTAGTTTTCGGCCCTTGTAGTCCATCTCAATATGATGTCAGGAGGCTCCTCACGCTCCTCAGCTCCGTCATCCTCATCAGAGCTCCGTGGAGGCTGCAGGTCTTGATGTAACGCCTGCCACGGTGAAGCCAGACTGCTCTTCTAGTTGCCCCATGAGTCAAAAACCTGTTCAAAACACGGGATGGACCCTCCTATGCCAGCTATTTCTCAGCGATCTCTCACTCCATAAGGGTCCCCAAGAAACATGGGGCAAGGAGCACAGGACCAACAGTCTGTGACCTTGAACACCCTTTAGAAAAGTCTTCAGCAACTTCACCCTCTGCTCATTTTGGCCTTTTTAAAGCTTAAGTACTGAAGGTCAGAGACTATCCTTAACATTTATAATGGGCATCATATCGAGCACAATGGTGGGCTATCCTTGGTGCAGGGCCAAGGCAGTGCTGCATTCGTGGTAATCTCTCTCCCTCACATATACCATGTTGAAAAGGCAACCAATGTTAGCAAAAGCATTCCACACCGAGCACCATCACAACTCACATCATCTGGATCCTAATTCAGTTTCTTTCTGTATAGTACTATGCATTATGTTCAGAACAGAGTGAAATCTTTGGCCTACACATTAATTTATTAAAACCAAATATTCAGCAACAGCAAATCATTTCATTACTTTCTCTGCTCCACCCAATTGTTTTGGTGAAGGAAAGGCATCAAATGATGAAAAAAATTGTTCTGAACCTCTTTAAAGGAGCACCTCAGTTTTTTAAATCTGACGTAACTCTCCACAGAGAATTGTCCTTTGGCTGATCTTCAGAAAAACCTAGCTACAGAAAATACTTTGAGTGGTCTAAAATAGAACTTCTCTCCCATTTCTCAGCACTGTGGGTGAACCAAAAGACCAGTTAATTGCAGAGCTCCTGCTGTGTCTGGTACCTCCCATCCCACCTCTAGTAATGCTTGAAGTACCACATGCAAACTCTGTTAGAAATTGCCCTGAGGGCCCAGGGATGAAAAAACAGCCTGGGGTTTCTCATCTGATGGGAAACTGCAACTACTGCAGAGTTAGGAAAAGTGACATTTCAACTGTTGTCTTGGTGCTCCCAATCCACCACCCCCTTCAGGGACTCCCATATCAAATTAACTCCCTTTACAAGTCAAAATAAGTTGTTTCTGACTGTCACCACTGACTATTGCTGTCTGAAAACTGAACTATTTTCTCTCTACTTTATACATTACCCCCAGATGTGAAGACTCCAACCTCTGAATGTAATTGGCAATTCTCTTGACAATGTATAAGGCAAAAGAAGCAGCGTGTTATTCAACTGCTCAATTGGATTTGGAATAATGACAGCAGTTATTATTGCTATCTACCACTTAAATAACCAGCTACTATATGACTAAGAAAACAGAGGCTAAGAGATTATTATGACCAAGATGCCACTTTTGTCACAGGTCCATTTCCAGCCAAATTCTTCTAAGGTCAGAGGGAGCTAATGGTGGAGGATAGACATAGGTTAAATTGGCTGAGCTCTGTTGACAGGATGCAACTACACTCACTTTCTGGAAGATGCATGCAGGTAGGAAACAGTGTCCCTTGGGGAAATTATAGGTATCTCTTTGCTGAGTAGTTTAGGTAGCTTAAACACCTGAGATCATGTATCCTTAGAGTTAGCATTGCAATGACCTAAGAATAAATAGATTATGAACATTTTTACACAGGTGAAAGGTACTGAAAGCCTTCAAGAATGGGGCACTTCAACTCCTTTTGAAATCTGCAGCCTTCCCTCTTCCTCCCCAGGGACCAACTCCCAGAGCCAACTGGATGCAGCCGGAGGCCTTTCAGGACATTTGAAATGTAAATACGCTTTTTTTTACTTCCTGACCCTTGACTCAAAACATCTGCAGCTCTATAAATTAAAAGCAACCACTGCTATTTATCAACTTCTTCCGCCTCCGTTTCATTCTTCCAGGAGACAGAGGCTACACTTTGAAGTTACACTGACAGAGCATAGGTGTTGTGGTGACATTTGAGAACTTTTGGTTCATCTCTCCAGGCAGCTGGTGCCATTGCCCTTCATCTTGTATCTTGTCTAGTAGGACAAAGCCTGGCTGGGTGGAAAGCAGCTACTGCTCAAAATTTTGATCAAAATAAGGAAAAAAAAAAAATTAAATGGAGCCTTCTTCAGCACTGACATTGTGGGGTTCTGTTCTAGATGAGGCAGTTGAGTCAGCATTCTCAACTTCTGTTCCTTGAGTATATCAGAGAAGAGCAGCTGATGATGCTGCCTTAATTTCTGTAATAGCAGAAAAGGCTTTTTAACAATTGTGTCATGAACTCTGTGCCTTGAGGATGCAGTTTCATTTTTTTGGAGGAGAGCTCTGGCAAAGTCAATGACTTTTCATCCTGCTCCTTCCCAAAATAAAACTCTGGAAAGTTATTGGAAATGATTGGTTTTAGTCAATTTGGCTAGGTGATGCCAGAAACTGTGTTGCTGAAAAAACAACAAAACCACAAAATCTTGAAAAGCAAAGTGCTGGGAAGGAGAGAACCTCTGCAAATTTTTGAAACTGATTCCACAAAAGCTTTCATTCATCACCTTAATCTTCACAGATTCAGCAAAATGGAAGGGAATTCTCCTAGATCTGCTTCACCTGACAAACTCCAAGCACTAGCAACAGCAGGTTCTGCTTTTGGCGAGGTACATCAGCCCCTTTGCATGTGAAATAACTCTCATGATATTTGAGGATAGCTGTTCTCGCCACAATGCGATGCCTCAAAATCAGTGGTATTTGGCTTTCTAAGTCAGTTCATGTGTTTTTTGAATCCTATGCTTCTCTGCTGCTCCCAGACAGCAAAAAGATCAGAGTGGTTAGTGCTTAAAAAGAACTGTATCATAACATTATATTCCAATGCCCATGGGAGTCCCTTCTAACATCCCTTTTTGTTGTGTTTTGTGGATTTTTTTTTTCATTACATAACTGGATAATCATAGAATGGCATAGGCTGGAAGGGACCTTAGAGATCATCTAGTCCAACCTCCCTGGGTTTGAGCAGGGACGCCACCTCTCGACTAGACCTGGCAACACATGGGGACCGAGCGGGAATAGAACCCGCAACCTCGGTGTTCGTCCTTGTTGCGAGCACTGCGCTCAAACCACTGAGCTAACTGGCCCCTGTAGGTGTTTAAGGAGAGGCTGGATGTGGCACTTAGTGCTGTGGTCTGGCCGTGTGGTTGGGTCATAGAATCATAGAATAGGCTGGACTTGATGAACTTAGAGGTCTTTTCTAGCCTCAACAAATTCTGTGATTCTGTAAATCTCATTGCTTTTACACCAGGGATGGAGATTCCCACCTTTCCTTTTGGGCATCCACATTCAGCAGCTATGCAGGCTCCCTTATGCAAGCAGCCACCACTGTTGCCATGCCAAGGTCACCACGCTGCCAAGCTCAAGCATATCCTCATTGCCCTATTTGCATCTGCCATCCAAATAAATCTTTTCCAGTTGTCTTGTCCTGTCCTTACAGTCTCACAGTTACTGTCTCTACACCCTGAGGGATTGCCTTCAAGGAGATGAACTGGTTTGCTCCAGCTCAGGGAAGCCAAAGGTGCCAGGCACTAGTGGTGTGCTCAGCAAAACTCAGCAAAAAGGCAGCACATGGCAAATTCAGTAGCTGAACCAGCAGCAAATGGTACACAGCAGTGCTATATGGTGCAGTCTGAACACAGAAAGATTCCTTCCATTAGGTCCTAGGACAAAAGACCCAAATATGCATTTTCCCTCTCCCAATTTAAACATCTGTATTCTGAATGATGACAACTGCCTATTAAACAGCAACTCGGAATCAGCAGACAAAACATACTTCATCTCGTGCCTTGTCCCAATTACTTCAAAATAGCTATTGCTGAGTCAGTAGCTTGGATTAGAGACATCAGAGATCATTGACAGAAATCACTAGCTTTTCAGGTTTGCACAAAGTCTTCTAGAAGCAGACCAAAGTGGGAACACTAATTCCAGTCAGGTTCACAGGTGGAAACAAACCTCCTACAAAAATGTACTCAATGAAATCACTAATGTTACAGAGGTTTTCTTCCCTCCAGACATCCGACAGCAAACATCCCTCCTTCAATTGTTGCACTCCTGGTGTTCCCCTTGGGGTCTACATAGATCTCTTTCTCCAAGGTGAGGGCTTTAGCCCCTGGCCACCAGTGCTTCCATTCAGCAGCAGCAGGACTACAAAACACCCCAACTGGTGTAACTCACAGTTGGCCTCTTCCATTGTATTCGCCGCAGCTTATCCTCTGGGAGCAGGTTGGGACCGATGGAGCTGATGTGAGCAGGGAAGGTGGCATCCTCAAAAAGCAGCCCTTGGCTCAGACATAAGGCTCGCAGGTGGTTGAAGTCTTGATTATTAAATTTCTTCAGGTTATGGAGGCTTCCTGCTGCTCCTGTTACTTGCCAGCCCTGCTCCAATGTCTGAGCAGAGCCAGGGGCAAGCATCATGCCCCTCTCCTGTGAAGGAAAGACATAGACTGACATTAGTTTCCCAGTCTGAAGTGATGTCTTAGGAGTGTGTGGAAAAGCAAACACTTTACCCCACACACCCCAAGAGGATTGTGGAGCAGCAGCTTGCAAGGCTGAGGGCAGTCACAGTGACAAAATCCTCATTAGCTGGAAATGCCTGGAGAAAGAGTAGTCGTCAAATCCCAACTGGTTTATCTAAAACCAGTGCTGTCACTGCTACAGATTCAATTTTGAGTCTTTCCTGAGGACAGAGAACAAAGCTGTTAGCAAGACGCAGTGTTAGTGTTGAGGTATATCTGCAACATAAGCGAGCACAGGGGATGGAGCAAGAGGTGCAGATGTAGGGTAGACACTTAAAGGTACCCAGGACTCTTCTGGCCATAGATTGCATTTGTGCCCAGGGTACTGTTCAAGTCATTTATTTCATTTCCACAAAGTGAGCTCTTGACAGTCACTCCCTGTGAGACCTAAATAAGGCAGATATTTGCCTTTCCTTGGGCTCAGCTCAAAAGACTCTGGACAGATTAGGAGTTGGCTTCTTAGCACCTTACACAGATATTCCACCAGACTCCCTAAAGGTACAATGCTGAGATGGGACCAAGCTGAAACAGCCAGATCTGGATCCCACCCACACAGCTTGCTCATATTGGTGTGCACCAAGATCTGTGGGTTTTGGATTCAGTAATTAATTTGGTAGTTAATATTTAAACATATTTGAATTGTAGACTCATATTTAAACTACATAGGCACTGTATGGCATCTGTAGCTATTCCAGTTTGGACCACATTCAAAGCCCTCTTTTGCTAATGTGTCTAAAGGAAAAGGGCATTTCACTTAAGAAAAGTGGATGTTTCACACATGCAGTGAAACCCTAGAATGGACAGACCTGCTAATACATCTGCTGGCACAGCTAGGGAAGGATGCAAGAGCTAAAAATCTGTGGACTCTGTCGCCTTTAGAGTTATAAAAGAGCATGCCAGGACTCTTGTACAGATCTATTTTTGTTCCAAAGGGAGGCAGTTCATTGTCCACAGAGACGCTGGGCTGTGGGGTGGGAGGGCTTTTGGGACTTGAGTGGGAGAAGGGCACAGGAAGGCAGAAGATTTGTACTTTGAATGTGCAGTGGTACCAGAGCGTTAAAAGAACACTTTGTTCTGTCCAAACCAGAGTAGGGGCTTCCAGGTGCACTCCCCAGTGTGAATCTACAGAGACACACACACACACGTGCACAACCTCCTGCGGATCTTTCTTCAGCTAAAAAAGTTCTCCTATGGATTTCAGAGTTCAGAGAAGTAGATGGAAGGTTTATGCAGCCTGCCTCGTCTCCTGGTTCCTCCAGCACCATTCATCATGCAAAATTACGTGTTGCTGGATCAAAATATAACTCGAGGTCCATGCCAGTTATCACCCTTCGCTCACATCTGCTCCCAGAAAAACAAAATTTTAACTGTCCTGAGCTACAATTCCACTTTTGTCTCTTTCCTTATGAAAAGAGAAGCCCCTGGTGAAGCCCTGTATCAGCAGACGCCTAAAGGCAAGAAGGATCACTGTGATCACCTCTGGCTGGCACGACAAATGCTACTGCACTTGATCCAGCAATTCCTGCCCCCAGCACCATCTTAAGATGCACCTTCTCATAAATTAGCACTGGAAAATGCACCATAAGCCCTGGGTGAGCCACTCCTACAGTTAATTAATTTCACTGCGCTTATTTCTAGCCTGAAGTCACTGAGTTTCACTACCAAGCCACCAGATGCAATAGCTTTTATTTTTTTATATTTTGTAGTAGATAAAATAGGTCCTTACTACCAAACTTCCCTGTAGATCCGACATACTCCTGGTGTGGTACAAAGAGAACAGATGGCTCCAGTAAGAGCAGAGTCTCAGATTTTTATCGTGAATCATTCACTCATGTGAAACACACAGACGAGCCACACGGAGGGTGTGATACAGCCCATCCCACCCCTACACTCTTTTTACTTAGTGTCATCACCTTTCTTGGTGCTTCAAGTCACTTGGCCTTCTGGCACTGTAGCAACAGCCTAGAAAAATAAGTAGGTTTGCATCTCATTGCTTTCATTAAAAGGCCCACAAAAAAAAAAATAAAATCAGATGGAATTCAGAAGTCACCCTCAGCCAACAAGACAAGAGAACATTCCCCTTGGGCTTGCAGTTTTTAATACAATGGAAATAAATCTCATGTAATGTACCATAACACGACAAGGGAATGGCTTCTTAACAAATACTCATTTGAAACCATGCCCAGGTCCCATGCATGCTAAGATCTATTTCTTGCAACAGTGTTCCAGCAAAACTGATTACTAATTCCAAAACTCAAATTAAAACTAACAGAGCTTGAAGGCTAGGTCTAACACGCGCTCCTTCTCTTCTGACAGAGAACAAGAGCTTTTAGCATGCGTGTGTGTGTGTGTTTAATTATGTTGTTTAACATATCGGGAATAAATTAGTAACCATACTGAAGAAAATAATACGCTTAACTACTTTTCCCTTGCAGGAATAACTTCATTGGCATTGTGTCTGGGGGCACACATGCACAGATACATGAGCTTTATGTCCATCCAGGCCACTGTTCAGGCAGCCCGTGCAGGTTGGCTCTCATGCTCTCAGTAAAATCAAAGATCATGACACCTTTTGAAACAGAATATTGCCTGTCTGGTTGGGGAGCTTCTTACTGTTAGTGAACTCTGAAGCAGAAAGATTTTAAAGAGACAATCTTACAATGCAATGCATCTCAGATGCGTTGCCCTTGGACTGCTCCCTGCCACAAGACGTGGTGAGAGAGGGAGGGATTTCAAACACTCACAAAAGCTGGCTCAGACATATTGTGAAACGTTGGAGAAAAACCAAGAGACTGACTCAACTAAGGAAGGAAATTATTATTCCAAAGGGGTTAAACATGCATTTACTTAGTCCCTGGGATCTCTTCCAACACATTTACTTATCTGAAATGGAGAAAGAAATCACACCCAACTATGCATCTACTGCTCTTTTTTGGACCTTCTTCCTTCTCAGCAAACAGAGATCCTTCTTCTTGGAGGATCAGATGACAAGAGGTGAGAGAGGGAAGGGGAGCAGTGGAAAGCAACAGAGAGACGGAGAAAAAGATCAGGTGTGACAACTGGAAAGGATGGGAAGGAAAGGGAAGTCTCTGAAGATACCAGAGCAAAAGGAAAGATTGGTGACCCCCACAGAAACCTGAGAACGCCAAGCACCGTATTCTGCATTAAACAACTTAAAAGCCAGCAGCAGTGTGTATGTCTCGCCTCCCTCTGGCACTCATTCACGAAATATGTCAAACAACTACTATAATCAGGTACTCAATAGTGGCAAATGCTACTGACAGCTAATTACACTTTGCATAAAGATTTATGTCAGAGTACAGACATAATTTCCTTTGGTGGCTTCTGATATTTTTCACTGAGTAGAAAGCAGAAATTGGCAATTAGAAACATGTCTAACTTCATAGCTGAACTATCCACCTTCCCTCCATCGATTTCCTCAAAACATTTCCATTACAGGTTGCCTCAGCTAAGTTTTATATATTTTAGGAAGATCAGATGAATTCTCAGACACTACAAAAAGTACCAGAAAAACTAAAACCCCAACAGCCTTTCTTCACCTGCTACCTCTCAAACACTCCAAATATCAATGCCAATTTCATCTCACCCATAATATTCAATATATGCTACAGTAGCGCAAGAACACTTTCCCTCTAAGATCTTGTCTTTCCTGTGTTTGGAGCATTGTAAAAACTTCACAGTGTCAGTTCTGGAACTGTCTTATGATGAAAGAAAGCATGACTTTATTAGGTCTCCTTGGATTCAGAGAAAAAAGAAATGAGAGAGTACCTGTCTGCAGTGAGAGCAAACTTGAAGAGGCAGATCAGGGACCCAAACTTGGGCATCCAAAACTCCAAGTATATACAATACATGAAAGCCACAAGTACTTTAGAGAATAAAAAACAAAGCCATGCACTTTGGCAGACCTATAGGAGATTACTTTCCCAGTGCCATCCTGCATGACTTTCTGCTCCAAACAGTCTGCAAAGTACTCCCCCATGGCTATTTATTAAGTCAATTTTCTCCTTGTTTTGCATACATAGCATAGGACCATTCCAGATATCTTTTTTTCTACCTCATTTAACAGCACCCTACAGTAACTATACAGCCTTCCTCATCTTAGGATCTCTACTCCCACTTGATTCAATTACTTCTAACAACTTACTGTTTTACTATGAGGCTCTTCCTACGATGGCAAATTCATCATTTCCTTCCCTCCAGGTAACATTAAGGATGGAGACTCTAATTTATTCTGTCCGAGACAAATCCCTTTCAATGTGTCTGTAGTGCTTTTCCAGCACTATTATTTGTATTTCATCTGCTTCATCTTGTACTAAGTAAAATAGCAAAGTGGTGTTTTACCTGCAATGCCCCTGGTGTAACTCTCCAGACAACACCAGCTGGCACTATCCCCGTTCTCCTTTATAGTGCAGTTTTTGCCACGCCTTCAGTAAACGTAACCTAGTTGAAGTCAAGTTCAAGGCCAAAAGCAAGTAATCTGACTCGGGCGTGACCGTTTCATATAGATACCGTACTGTGGAGAGATGTATTAACCATCCACAACGAATTGTCTGTCAACCAATGTCAGCTGAGCTTCCTGGGGCTAACTGTCGCTTCAGTCACAGTTATTCTAACGAGAAAACAGGATTTGTTTGCACCTCTCACACTTTTCACATTATCTATTTTCACATTATTTGCATCACCAGGAAATGCAGCAATCATCCCAGATCCAGGCACAGCCTGGCAGGACTTGCCACGAGACAAGTTATCAGAGCTGTGTGTCATTCTTTCTGCAGCAGTAAAAGCAGGAGATACTTTTAGGCAGTGCCTGTTAGCACCTACACTGAGCTCTTACTAAAATTCCGCATCAGGTCACTCACTTGGGTAGTTTGTTTC